ATAATCTAGTCTATATTTCAAACTACAACCTTTCTATATTAGTAGTTAATTACTTACTTCTTGCTCTTGTATTAGATTTATACAACCCTAGTATTCATATTCAAACTTTTTTTTTTTCTAGATTTTTTATCAGTCTTTCTCTTATTTCTAGCTAGCAACTTGGAAAGGTTGGTCTACCTAGACATTAGATGTCTATATGATCTTCTTTTTTTTGGTACATGCTTCCAGAGTACATATTCTTTTTTTTTAATTTGGCAACCTGGCAGTTCTAATAGTATGTTATTTCATTTAAGCATCTGGTTGTTCAGTTCTCCAATCTTAGTTTTTGGTTCTAAATTCAGTCCTCCTGCAGTACCATCAAAGATTGTATTATCTTCTAATTCAGGACTTGCCAAACAAGTTTTTAATTATTCTGTATTTCAAATTTATTGTACCAGAGCTTCTATTCTAGGATGGTGTGACTGAGGCTACAGATTTTTAGATTCTACTAATTATTGAATAGCTGTTAACCATATTACAGAGCTATTTTTCAAAATTGTCATCTGTAAGATTTAAACTCTAGACCTGCTATCTAGATATGACAACTTAACTACTTTACTAAGTCATCATACCCTCTTATTTATACTTTAATTAACTATTTTTTTTTATTTTTCTATCATATTATATAAAATATATTTAATTAACAATATCAACTTTATTTAAATCTTATTAAAATCTTAATATATTTAATAATTAAACTAATTTAATACAAAACAAAACAAGCAAACAAATTAACTTCTCTATTCTTTTTCTTTTAAACACTACTTACTACTATTATTATTACTATTAATCTTATATTTAATTACTTTCTGCAATATCTTCACTACTAATAACCTTACCAAAACTCTTTACTCAATACAATATTCTTATTTTTTCTAATCTTTGTAAAAACTTTATTTTCTAATTATGAAAATAATTCAAAATATAATTAACCTGTATATTTTTAGAATCTTGACTTAACTCCTAACTATGTATTTAATTATTTATCCTTTTCAATCTTTTCCTTACAGTTTTCTTTTTATTTTGCAAACTATATTATTTTTATTATTCTTTAATTATTTTAGACACAACTTTATTACCAACTTATTCATATTAATACAAATATGTACCTTTTTGCACTAGTAAATCTAAGTTCAAAAAACTTATATAGATAAATTTTTCTAACTCTTTCTACTAAAATAATATTAGTGTTCTCAGCAACTTTACTTTGTATTAAAAGTATTTCCTTTTTGTGAGTCAAAAATACAATCTTCTTTTGAAGCAAGCTTTCAATCTTTTTTTCTATTTTTTTTAGTAGTAAACTTGTTTAAAACTTTTCTTTAAATGCTTTCTAAAATAACTTATTAACTTATTTCACTAAAACTTAAAAAAACTCTAAACAAATATAAATCTAAATTTAAATATATATTTATTTATTGTATAATACAAAATTCCTTGACAAAACAACATGAAGTTAAATTATACAATTCTATTAGTAAATCTTATTTAATCTAAACTTTTAAAAAATATATAAAATAAATTTTATAACTCTACAGATTGTAGTATAGTGACAAATATATAGTATTGCAAAAATATATATTTAACTTCTACTAGTAGTATATTAAACCTAGTGTATTAAGATAGTATTACTAACTACAATGTAAATATTCAACTTTTATTATTTTTAAAATTTTTAATTTTTTTTGATTATTATTACTATAGATTTATTTTTATAACTCTTTTGTATAGTAACTAATATATATAGCATTGCAAAGCTATATACTCTTTTTTACTCTTTTTTTTTTCTTTCTCTTCTCTTTCTTGTAAATTTTCTTTTATTATTATTAATATTTACTTCTATAATTTTATTCTTCTTTATTTTAACCCTATTCTAACTATTTAATTTTAACACTTTTATACTTTACTAACTTATTTTAACAAGATTTTTTCTTAGCCTTTTTGTTAACTAATAGTAGTTATTAACTTAAATTAGTTTTAAAAATAAAATTGAGGTGTAATATTATATCAAATTAGATACTTATAGAAAATCTATCTATTTACTATTATTGTATTTATATAATACTTTATAAAAATTATTTGCTTTTCTATATATAATATTAATAAAAAGAAAAAAAGAAAACTAGTTTAAATAAGGCCATGCAAAATTAATTAATTGGTTTTTATAACCTGGCCAGATCAAAATTTGAAAACTTCTAAAAAAAAATTTTTATATGTTTTAATAACCGGGTGGGTTTTAAAAAAATTTTTATATAAATTTTATAAAATTTTATATATGAAATTTAAAAAAAAAAGCTGGCCGGCTGGGTCTATTTTTAAAATTTCATGTTATGAAAACCAAGTAATTAAATTTGTATGGCCTAATTACTTTTTTATGAGTAATTTTTAAATACTTTAGTAAATGCTATAAGGAAAAAATTAAGCTATATTTTATTAGTTAAATTCTTTATTTCAATTACTAAATTATCAAAATACTAATTAATTTTTTTAACTAGATTTTTAAAAATATTTAATTCTTTACATAAAAAAAAACTTCTGCTTTTTTAGTAGAATTTTAAATAAATTAACATGTTAAAGGTTGCAAAAATTTTATTAATAAATAATTGACTAATATAAAGTAGCAATCTTATATTTATTGCAACTATCTGTATAGAGATATACTATTTTCTAGTATAAATCTTCACTTAGTGCTTATTTTATAATTAAAGTAATACTTAAAATTCAAATTCTAATTTTTTTTTAAAAAATTTAAGATAACTTTCTAACTCTAAATACAATTAAAAAGATCATAAATAATTTTTTTTAGTACAAAAAAACAAAACATTTGTTTATAAAAAGTTTTTTTTTAATAATATTTAATGATTGAATTATAATATTCTTTTTTTTTTTAATAAAAAAAACAATTTTTTTAACTAATTAATGCAATTAAAAAAGTTTTTAAATTTTTTTTTAGTAAGAAAACAAACTCTTACTTATGAAAGTGTTTTTTTTTTCTGGTACCAAGACAATTCTAAACTTTAAATCATTTTCTCTTCTTTTTTTTTGTAAAAAGACTAAAAAAACTTTAAATCTTTTTGTAGTTTCCTACTACCAATAAAATTTTTTTTTTGTAGAAAGAAACTAAAAAAATAATATAAATAACCTAACTGCTTTAGTATTTATGTATATTTATGAAATCTATGCTAGTAAAGAGAGCTTGTAAAAAGAAAATATATGAATAATAGAAATATAAAATGTAATTGTTAAATGGGTTCTACTAAGTATGACAAATATAAGGCAACTATCTATAACATAATCGTGAAACTTATAGAATTCGTGGACTCAAAAACAAAGATTTGCAAAATTCATCAATCCAACTAAATCAAAAGAGCGATAATCAAATTTCAAGATTAGTTGTAATGTTTGAACAAATTTATTTACGTAAACATTTTCTTATATAAATAATATCCTGAATCCTAATCTAACGAAAACTTCTGTTTCAAGTGCATACGTTTTATATAAATACACTGCAACTTCTGCAACTTACATTGTGCACCAATAATGTTGGCATACCAACACTATAAAAAGGTTGACCGGTTACTACATTTGGGAACTATTGATTTTTAAGATTAAAGGGCACTGAACCCAGTGATAATGACAGTATCACTCAGCATAGGTTAGGGTTAGTTTAGTTCTTGTAAACAAATAACGTCATGATATGTTTGTCATATGATCGTCAATTACTGGGTTCAGTGTTTTTTAAGTGTCCCATTTTTAAAGTGCACCAGGTACTTTGATAGTTTATTTACATGTTTCTACCCGGAATTAGTCGGCATTAGAGTATAATATAGGCCGGCTTGATAACAACATTCCGTGTAACTTAATGTGTAACGCCAATTAACCAATAGAAATTTCTTTATCGTGTGGGTGGCTAAATTATGCGAGATTATGCGAATTTCTCAAAATTATGCAAAAATTGCATAGATATTTTATGTGCTATAAGGGATATTATGCTGAATCTTAACGTTAATCCTGGGCACCCTACCTGGCGTATATGATCTACCAACACAACGAAAGTCGACATGATTAATGGTTCGTGTCACCACATTAGATATTGTGCTTCAAAAAATTGATTAGATCGGATATTGAGAATCAATCGCTGTGCCGATAAGATAAATCATGTGTATGTTCTCAAAATACACTTGAATCTGAAACACTATGTAATTTGCTCATGCAAGCATAATTATTGGGGTTTCAGAGTTAACTTAATTTGAAAACAAGTGGAGTTTAAAAAGTCCTATTTTTTGTTTTTAAATTTCGAAATCAGAAAATGAAAAAGGGGTTATCCGGAGATAAAACAAACTTTTTTTGATAATTTATATCTTATTATCGTTATATAATAAGCTTGCAAATAAAAATAAATAGGATTTATAGATCGCTGATTACGTACAAAATTAATACGTCACTAATTTAATTCGAAATCAGAAACCTGAACCTTAGGTCTGAAACCCCCCTATTAGTACATTTTTATGTTCGAGAATCAGTTTTATGAATATCGATATGCTTTGAAACAGTGTTCCCAACGGGTTTTTAGGCACAAACAAACCAGTTTGAGCAAGATAACATCCCTAATATTTACTAGAATTTGCGATTACTACCTGATATCTTTTTACACGTTCGATATTTTTATATGTGACTAATTCTGATCAGTAAAATTATCTTTTAAGGATCTACTCGACCAATGATTTTTTCACTGGCCTTTATCACTGGTTCTTTTTATATAAAGTTTATATACGTGGTAAATACAATCAATTAATCATATGGGTGACACCATGGAAAACCTGCTTTTTGGATATTTACTTTAGGTTTTTACTTAGTCAGCAATCATATGATCTTCAAGGATTGAGCCACCTATTCAGTATTTTTAAACATCATTAAGTGAAACGTCATACAAAAGCAAACCGGATTTCTTTTTTTCAAGGTAAATGTCCACTCCTTCCTTGACCGGTAGTAAACGAGGTGCACTAATAGTGTTTGAAGGTTGTGACCGTGCTGGAAAATCAACACAAACTGAAAAACTTGTTAAATATTTGAATGAACATGGATTAACAGCAGTTAAAGGGAAATTTCCAGGTATATATTATTATTATTATTATTATTATTAAAAATTATAAATGCTATATACTTCGAAATTAATAGTTCAATAATTAATGCATTTACGTTATAGCGAGAGGTATAGAACCATTAGGACCAATCATCAATAATTATTTAAATAATGAAGTAGAATTATGTGATAGAGCTTTTCATTTTTTATTATCAGCAAATTTATGGGAACAAGAGTAATGTTAAATATTTACTGAAAACGGTTAGCCACAAGATATTTAAAGAATGTTGTAATTTATATTCTGGTTCATTTATAGATCATACTTGAAGAATACTATTCTCAATGGCAAGACATTAGTTATGGATCGATATGCATATACAGGAGTTGCATATTTAACTGCCAAGGTAGGCTATATACTATATGCATTTGTTAAGTATCATGTTGGATTAAATCATTAAATATACGAATTATCCAGGGTTTGGATTTAAATTGGTGTAAATCTTCGTACGTCGGTTTACCATCACCAGATATTGTCTTTTTCATGGACGTGCCATTAAAAGAGACTGAAAAAAGGGATGGATTTGGTAGTGAAAGGTTTGACACAAGCGAGATTCAAGAAAAGGCCAGGGATGTATATTTATCATTGAAAGGCCCAGAATGGAAGGTGAGGCGCGTAATCTGAAGACCGGAGTTTTTTTTTTACAATGTGATATTTATTAAAAAAAAAACAACTTAATGACTAGGTATTGGATGGACGACAATCAATTGATGAACTTCACGAAAAGATTGCAAATATGTCCTTAGAAGTTATTCAAAAACGTGATGTCTTACCAATACAAGATTTATGGAAAAGTTTTTGATCAAAACATCAAACATCACAAATTTTAATACGTAGTGATAAATATTCCGGTTCGTTGTTTAATAGAATAAAAATATCTTTTTAAATAATTATACTCGATCTCACAAAGAAAACTTGTAATTCTAAATTTTAAAATCTCTTTCGCTTAAATTGTAATCATTTTTGAAATTTCAAATCTAAATGATTCAATTATCGCGGTTTGCATAATTTTGCGAATCATAAAAAAAAAAAAATCACAATTTTAGGCGATTTCTAGGTGATTTTGATTACTTAAAACTACTCTGACTTCTGGGTATGAAGTTGTCATATCGGAGTAGTTTTAGAAATCGCCTAGAAATCAATTTCGATTTTATTTTTTTTTCTTTGATGATCTACTTGAAGGATTAATTTGATTAATTGATTAATCTTAACAATTCAATTAAATTTGTTTACATATTTTGCATTCTAGCCTATATATAATAATTCCAAAAGCACTACGTACTTAAATTGCTTACATAAACATCTTTATTATCATTTACCCGGATGGCTATCGTTAAACAGCTCAAAAAGAAATAAGTATTATTCTTTCTATTTCTTTTTATTAATATATTTATATTTTAATACCGTAATTGTGTAAGTTTATTACTAGAAACAAATAAGTACATGTGATGTGAAGAAGAATTTCGGTAAATATTGCATAATATGTTTATATTAGATCAAGATGAATAACTGTCAATTCGCTGGCTGACATATTTATTTGGTTACTGACGATCAACGATATCCTGACAATCATTTTCACAATGGCTTCCAATGCCTAACATTAAAAAACGTAAAAGAATAAAATTATTTCGCGAAATGCATGTCTTCAAGCAAAATAATAAATTCAAATGATCAATTAATTGATGATTACACCAAAAAAATCGGATTTCAAAGCTGTGTTTACAATATTAGTTACGAAAGGTTCAGAAGTTAAACGAAACTTGAACAATATTACAATTTGGTAATTAAGATATCGCGAATTATTGAGATTGGTATTAGGCTTGTAATCCTATATTATTACTTTTTCGGCCGTTGTTACGCGAATAACCCTTTCTGATGAAATCGTGTCACTTTGCTCAATAATTTCGCTGACATCTAATTAGTAAGTTCATTTCGAAGAGAACCTTTTATCGACAACAGTTTCATATCTATTCGATCAGATCAATTGGTTCCATTTCTATTTTCAGATACCAACAAGAATGCAAGAAAGTGATAATTATACATGAATTATCAGGTATTTGAATTATTAATAGTGAGTTCGGTATTTTTAATCTTTGGTTAAATAATTGTTGCTTTCGTACATTTTGCAATTCAAACCTGTTAATTTGTTTAATTGTAGATGTGTAAACGTGACGATCGGCTAAAATGGTGGACGTAAAAAACAAACAAAACCCATTTTGAAAAATCGGCTCTTGTCTCAAAACTTTGCGTAACCGTTTTTATGCCCTAAAGTTTTCATAGATCAATTATATATAGTAAAATTTTCTTTCGCAAGCTTTAACCTTGACTTGAACGAAACTTTAATATGATTATCATGTGTACGGACAAATTCCCCTGCATGCAGATTTTTCCTTGCGCAAGCTATACATATATGATATGGTATAGAACTTTATGTGGGTACACTTGACCCTCGTTAATATCAGCCTTTTATAGTTTAGGTTGATATTAATGAAGTTGAGGGTTATGTGTATAGTTGCCTGTCTGGTATAGTGCAGAAAATAGTATACCCGAATATACATTGCGTGGGTATAATTTTCCCACGAAATTATTTCGTGCCCATACGTAATGTACTCTAAAAACGTAGTATCTTGCGCAGCTATCAACAATTGACATAAATATATCTACGCAGAGAGGACTATACAAGTGTGCGGTATAAAATGAAAGTATATAAAATGAATATGTACTTTAATGCAGTAAAGAAAAATTGAATGTTATCATTATCGCAATATACGTCTGGATACACTACCAATAAAGCATAGTCTAACATTAGACTAGATAGAATTTGGATAATCCGGGTAATCTAAAATACACAATACCCGGATCGTCGTTTCTCATATTTAAGGGTTATACAACGATTAAAATTAAGAGTATTTAAAGAAAAATTAAAATGTTTTTAAAACTTACTAACTAAAAATCGTATAAAAAAAAATGAAGAAAAAACAAACAAAAAAAAGTTTAAAATCTAAGCGCAATAAAAAAAAATAGTACGTATCTCTAGATGAGAGTTCTCTTTTTTTGTGGCTTAGGTAAAATGAGGCGTGTTAACTTAGTTGAATAACAAAAAAAAAAGATATCTGCTTAATATAAGTTTTATATAAATAAAAACGTGATTGTATTTATATTATTATATAGTACGTCGTAGATCCTAATTTAAATCAAATTACGCCAATTACGCAACCAACCTGTTGATCTTGGCTTAATGTTTGTCGATCATTCAATCTGAGCGATTCATGAGCATTCTATGATGGAAGTGTTCTATTAGTTATAGATGGTTGCGCCTTTTGCTTGAATCAGGTTGTTTATAACAACAAACTCATAATAAATATATAACATAACAGGTAATATAAATTATTTAACTCTCCTACCTGGAGCAGTTTCAAAGCGGGAATTAATTGAAACTGTAAATAAGAAAAAAGAAAATTATCGTATCTTTAAGTTTTATCTGCACATATTAGGGATAGCACTTTTGTGTGTCATCATACCCGGGTACGTATACCAGTTGCATTCCAAGAAACGTGAATACAAGTATTTGTTTATATAACAAATGGACCAACCGCAAAAATTTAAGGAGGTTGCACTCAAAATGTTTTCAAACATTTAAATATATCCCGTTTTCCCATCCTTTTGATAAAAAATTGTCCCCAGTAATGACGGTTTCTGGCCGGCATATGCATTTTATGATAGGGTCTCTCCCGGGACCAATTACGTAAGCGTTAAGTTCTTCTTTTTGTCAAAAAATAAAAAACATTAAACACATATGCTATAATACATTTTGTTAATATTAATAGTTATGCGAAAATTAATTAAAATTTTGTTTATCACAGTTTCAAATATCAACTAGAAGTTTCTCAAGAACCTATACGAGCAAGGATGTGTGGTTTTGGAGACAAAGATCGTCGTACTATTGATCCTCCTCCAATTGTCAGACTACTCGCAACAACATTAGATGGAACACCCGTACCTGAAAGGTAAAGTTTTACCTTAACAGTGAATATTTTTGTGAGTATAAGTTAAACCTCGATTGCCAAGTCATTATCACCAAAAAAATTCTAAATTGATTGCATTATAAAAATCGAATGTACAGTTCTATCGACTATTCTATGATGATTGTTCACGCCGGTCTGTGGTCTAGAGATTGCAAAGAAGAACGTGGCTTAGTAGTTAATCCTACTTCCATGTTTACTAAATCAGCTAACTCTAATTCAGCTGTCATGTCCGTGAATGCACCCTTGAATACTCGGAATCTCATGGGTCATTGCACATCTTCCGCATATGTGCTTAATAATCATGCTGGTCAAAAGGGAATTTATTTTATATTTCAAGACCTTTCTGTTCGAACGGAAGGTACTTTTACCCTAAAATTCTCGTTTTGTAACATCAAAGAATTAATGGCTCAGTAAGTTATCTGTAATACGTAATGATTTTTATTTTTTATTCTCAAAGATAAACTAAAATTATAATAAGCAGACCCCCTGATGGATTAACAAATGCCAGTGGAAACGTTACAGCTGAAGTGTACAGTGCGCCTTTTAAGGTTTATTCTGCAAAGAAATTCCCAGGAATGACAGGTATGAAATATTTTTACCTCAGATTTCGAGTTTGTTATTATTCAACTCTGGCTTGGTAATGTGCTATGATAAATAAGTAAGTCAGTATTAATGCTTCATGTTAGAATCAACTGAGCTTTCTAAAGCTTTCGCCAAACAAGGAATTAAAATTCCGATTCGTAAGGATGCATATTATAGGAAAGTCTGCAATAACAATTTACACAGGCAACCCAGTGTAGACGCTCCTAAGACAACAATAGAGACACTTGAAATCTCCAGCAGTGATTCTGAGGATACAGATCATTTTGATGAAAATAATGAAACACGTGATTATTGATTTACGGGGATATGAAGTAAGGATATATTTGTTGAAAAAAGCGGTTACGTAAATCGAAATGAATATACCTAAATATTTTATCACAAAAAAAATTCTTTATT